ACACACACACACATATATATACATGTATATATATCATATTGATAAAAACAACTTTAATTTCTAATAGTACTGTATCAGGAAGAAGGAAGAACCACTAGAACATATGTATTGCTGGTGATATTGAAATTGGATAACCACTTTGGAAAATAATTTGGGCTTATTTAATAAAGCTAATGAAGCACTTATCCTGTAACCCAGCAAGTCCATTTTTAAGTATATACACTACAGAAATTCTTGTAATGTATCACATAGAAAGATGTGTGAAGTTGTTTCTCACAGAAAAATTGCAAACCAACAAAATGGTTATTAACACTAGAATAAAGAAATAACTATAGATATGGTCAAGCAATGGAAAGCTATTGAAAATGAGCAAACTACAGTTACATACATTGAGATTGGTAGATCTCAGGAATATAATATTTAGAGAAAAATAAAGAAGAATACATATGGTGTTATACATTTATACAAATTTAAATATCATGCAAAATGTATCATTAGAGATATATACTTGATACATCAAAGTAAATCTATAAAGAAAGGCAACAAAATGAAAATAAAAAGTTTAGGATAGAAGTTATGGAGAGGAGAGGAAATAAGATGGAAAATACAGTAAAATCTTGGATTGTGATTAACTTGTTTTTTGAGTGTTCGATAAGACAAGCAGATATTTCTAATAAATTTTTTTTCCTTAAATTCTTTTATTGGTACATTTTAGGTATATAATACATTTACATTTCTCATTGGGAACTTGTACCTTTACAAAATGTATCTTGGTTCTTATTTTTTCCCCATTCCCTCCCCTCCTGTCACCCCTCACCCTTCCGTATTTACAAAGACTTTGTTACCATTTTTTCCATTTCTCATAATTTTTCCTTTCCCTTCTTTCCTTTCCCCTACCCCTCCCACTTCCCCTAGCCCTTTGGACCTTTTCTTCCTATGTTGCATTATCAATTATTCATTTTAATCATTGGTACTTTTTAGGTATACAACACAATGACATTCATCATTGGAAATTTGCACCTTTACATAATCTCTCTTGGTTCCTATTTTTCCCCCGTCCCCTGCCCTCCCTTCAACCCCTCCATCCCTCTCTATCTAAAAAGACTTTGTTTACATTTCTTCATATTAATTCCATTCCCTTCTTCCCTTTCCCCTACTCCTCCCACTTCCCCT